TACAACTGTTGAAGGAAATGTTGTCTTGCATCTGGAGCTACCGGTACCTCTGGAACATGTTGATATAGAGAACGACCCTCTTTCTCAGCTTCATACTCAGCCCAAGCAGTTTTACGCTCTTCTTCATCCAGTTCCTCAGATTCAATATTTTCCAACAGAGAATCATGCTCATGAAATTTAACAATCCATTCCTTTCTTTTACTCAACAGTTCAGCAAGAATGAAATCCTGTATTACAAAACAATATCCTGTTAACAGCAATAGTATGCTGGGTATTTTTTGCTAAGAATGGAATAGTTTTAGCTATAGTGGCTAATGCTTGTTTTTCTTGGCCACTTCGCAACTTGAAAAAATGAAAAAGAAAAAAAAGAAAGAAAAAAAAAATCGCAAAAATTGTCAGATTTGTGAATAAAATAGAAATATGCTACTATAACAAACATTATATGTTAGCAATATGTTTAATGTACATTATTGTGGATGACAACATTTTTAAATGACCATTTTTGCAAAATAATTCAAGGTTTGAAATACTAAAAACCTGAGCAGAGCAGAGCAAAACGACAACTTGACAAGCACCAATAATAGTTACATAGTAATTTTATAAGCATGCGCCCTCTCTTCCCTCCAGTCTTGTAGTATATTTGTATATTTTTATCCTGGGGATCAAAATTTAAATATTGCGAGGCATTTCATTTTCTATAAGCTTTTTTCGCCTCACATGTACATAGAAAACTTTAATTTATTGATGGTGCAATGTATCAATTCCATCGTATAACCACTTGACTTGTCGCCTTTGTTTTCACTGAAATAGTAGAAACTTGCCAATGGACATGCCAGACAATCAAGGGGTATGTGAATTATCATAAGGGGTCAGGGTCCTTTTACAATTTTCAAAGAGGTTTGTTTTTGGAATTGAAGGTATTGTATTTTTGCTTTGTTGATATAATGTGCAATGTGTGGGAATGTTAGGTCTATTTTACATTGTGCTTGTGCTATGTTCTGTTGACATAATTCATGTTTTCACTTCGTGATTTTATATCAAATAAAATATACTATATTTGGTAATATGGGATGGGACTTTTTTGTAAATTTGTGTCATGGGTGTTTGTTTTTTTCAATCGAAAAACAGAGCAATAATTTGCATCAGTCAGAGATGCAATTCTATTTTCTTCACGCTATAGCCGTCAACAAGTGAAAATGTTAGAATATGACAAATAATCATGAATGTGTCAATGTGAGTGGTCTAATTTAATACATTCAAAAGAGTATAGATATGATTGTTGGTTATTCTCGTAACAGTATGGGGAATGTGCATTACATCAAAGTAAATTTCAAACAATGTGTAATAATTTGATGGCAAGATAGAAAGGTAATAATGATCAACCACACTGGAGACAATTGCCATGGCTATCATCAAAAGTTCAAAAGAAATCAGACCAGTCAAGTCCATCCATGTATATGATCACCGTAAAAATTAAGAGCCACTCAGTGAAAATTTGTTACATTTGACCCTCCATTAAGAGCCACCAAGAGTTGAGTGGTTTTGTCAATAAGAAACCGGTTGTTTACAATCAGGCAGACACAAGCTTGTCGTGCCTCACTTCCACCCTGCATTGTTTATTGCCCCACAGAAGGTGTGAGACAAATAAAGATTATCCCCATAGCTTGCCTGATGTCCAGTATAATTGAGAACGGAAGAATGACAGACGAAAGAAATACACTGAGAGCGTGAATGTGACTGTCAACTTGTCTATTTTAAATTTCTGACACACAATCGACCTATTTAGTATTAACTATATTTTTTGCCGAAACACCGAAGGACACGTTGAGATATCCATTGCCAATGTTGTCTTTATAACCAAGTAAAAAACGTCACGATTTTAGAACGCCTTTATCGGAAAATCGGAGGTATCGAAAATACTTTCTCACAGACGGACCGGAACAGGAAGTCAATAGAAAACAAAGATTTTTTCCTTAGCGTGGGAGAAATTTGGTTAGCGTGGGGGGAAACAGAGGTGTTAATCCGGTCCTGCACGTTTGAGGATCGTGACTTAGCTCTGACTGTGAGAATGTAATGATTACGCAGCCCACTCTCGCTGATCGTGATTT